GCAGGGTAAGCGCTGGACTGCTAACCACTCATCCAACTTACAGCTACTCTGAGAGAAAGGAGGCTGTCTGTCCCCCTAAAGGCCCACAGCCTGGGACACCCTCTACAGGGTTGCTATGAGTTGGCATCTACTCCGTGACAGTAAGTCAATGTTAACATAATTTATGTAGCTGGCTAATATTAACCTACATCCTGAAGATGTACACAAATTAGTCACATAAAACAACTGCTACATAGAGCACAGGCAACATCTTGCTGGAGACAAAGACCAGTAGTTGCCTCCCTGCTATGCACCTATTGATGCGAATCTGACCCATGCTTGCACTCCACACCCACAGACACATGCGCAAACACAGCAGTATTAGAACAAGCTGAACATTCAAAGCCAACTTCTGATCCCCTCCAGAGGAGGGAAGGAAGTAGGAAAAGCCTCTGAACTGGCATTTCCCAACACGAGTCTCTTTCATAGGCATGATGCTATTTTTTGCTGGAAGGTTATCTTCAAAGACTCCCCCCTCCCTGCCCCCTTCAAGAAACAACTGTTTTCCTCAAACTTTGAAGAGCTTTATCTCTACCTCCTTCCACAAAAAAACAAACTGTAAAAACGTTACCGGCCCTGACATAACATTTCAAGCATCCTATGCTCTTAGGTAAAAACCAAACCGACGAACTCCACATTGTTGTAAACCACCTGCATACTACTCTGCTCACTGATCTAGGCCCAGGAGGCAAAACGAACCCTGAAAGAGATGCTGACCTCCATGCCGTTTGACTGGTGCCCTTTCTAAGGTCTAGCTGATGCCAGTAGTGGTTTGTAAGACTTGGAAGGTCTTTGTTTTGTTTTTAATGTTAAACTTCCTTTTCATTTTTCCTTTTGATTGTCACATAATAAAGAAGCACTTAAAAAAAACTGGATTGAACATCTCAGGATAATTTTTGCGTTCGGACCCAGGCAGACAATGAAAAAGTTGATGCATATGCTTTTAACCAGAGCTCTCTCGACACATTTAATTTGCAAGTTTAATAAGGGGTGATATCATTTTTAATCAAAGCAACAAGAAGACAATGTTATCCAGTATGCACAATGTGACGGGTGCTTTGCATCCCTGACGTTTAGTATAAATTGTGGGCGGTAGGATGCACGGGGGCTTGCGTGTTGTTATTCTGTTTCTACTCCTATGAAAAGGGACTTGGGAGACCGTGCCCAGCCCTGGTGTCCTCTGTCCCCAGGAGCCAGGCATTCTCCTCTCTCCAAAGGTCGGCCAAGCCTCGGTCCGTTCTACCTTCACAAACAGCTTGTCAAATCTTCAGCATAGCTGCCGATTCATACCTTAATTTAGTTGGATCACTTTTTACTTCAAAACTTAAATGCAATTACATTTAAAGAAAACTCATAGACAAGGAAGCCCTAAGACACAAACACCACACACACACAACACACAACTACCACCCCTCACACTCACAGTGTCAAATGGGACATTCTTCCACCTAAGGCCATGGCGCCATTGGGATTGGTGATGGGGCACCAGAGGGCCAGCTGTGCCAGGAGTAGTGGGCACGGCTACGAGCGAGGCACTGGGGGAGAAGAGACTGCAAGGGGGACGTAAGCTGGGGCAAGCAACGACCCAGGGCGCATGTCCCTGCCCCCCAGCTCGCAGGGTGTCCTCTTCCTGTTTCTGTCAGCCTGTACCCTAGGCAATCTTTCTGGGTAAAGCACCCCTAAATGGAACACACTGACAAACTACCCTGCCCGGCACTGTGAAAGCAGCCAAATGACCATGCTTACCTCTTCCCAAAGTCCAGCATCTGCCACACACCTCACAGACAAACGATGCTCTTGTCTGATTCAGTGTCAGGAAGCACCCACACCCCAACACCAGCGTGTACCTGAACCTTACCTTGTGCAGGGAATAGCCCGACTCGAAAATAATGGGCGGCAGCAAGAGTAGAAAAAACATATTTGGACGAAACATTTCTTCTTCCTGTGAACAGAAGACGAGCCTTCAGAGCCGCGGGTCTGTGTAACAGAGAAACAGACATGCTACCAGGGGCACTACAGAAAGTCCCAGACGGAATGGGAGGAAACTGGAGAACGACAATCACATTCCTAGAGAAGGCCAGATCTACTGGGCTGACAGAGCCCGGGGAGCCCGGAAGACTCTTGCACTCAGAGAACCTTCGAGCTTGGGACTGAAACTATTTCTCTGAGGCTGCCTTTTAGCTTGGTTTACAAAACACTATCACCGTGAGTGATGCACCCCTTAAAACAATCAGTCAACATTCATACCAAAGCAAAGATGAGGCTGGAGCAAGAAGTGGAGGGAAGGTCAGACAATGAGAGCAGAGCAAACAGAATGTAGCCAGGAGGCGGCAGCGACCCCTTGTGAACACCGCAACACAGCCCCTGGCGCACACTGATCTGTGAGAAAATCGCTAAATGGGAACCTAACTTGCTGCATAAGCTTTCACCTAAAGCACAAAAAAGGATTATTTTATTTTATTTTATTTATTTATTTTAAACATTTTATTAGGGGCTCATACAACTGTTATCGCAATCCATACACACATCAATTGTGTAAAGCGCATTTGTACATTCATTGCCCTCATCATTCTCAAAACATTTTCTCTCCACTTAAACCCCCGACATTAGGTCCTCATTTTTCCCCTCCCTCCCCGCTCCCCCCTCCCTCATGAGCCCTTGATAGTTTATAAATTGGTACTTTGTCATATCTTGCTCTGCCGGACGTCTCCCTTCACCCACTTTTCGGTTGTCTGTCCCCCAGGGAGGAGGTCACACACAGTTCCTTGTAATCGCTTCCCTCAAAAAAGGATTATTTTAAAAGAAGACAGACATACACACACACACACACCAACAAAGACCAAATGCCACTACTTCAGGGCTGGCCCGGTGGAAATGTGCACTGTCCCTATTAAACAACTATCTGAGAGTAAAGCGGGGCAGCAGCAGAGATAAACAAGCAAACAAAGTAGGCAGCATTTTGAAATGTAGCACAAGCGATGTTCACAAAGGTAACTGACAAAAGCAATCCCCCTGCATGAGCGGCTTCCAAGCACAGGAGTATGGTTTCCTTTGTGAAGGAATTCGCTTCGGCACAGGGTCAGACAGAACACGACAGAGAGCGAGCTTTCCCACAGGGACCCTCCCAGAAGAAGGCAAGGAAGGGTACGCTCACTGACAACCCACTCTGCCAAGTGGCAGTGCCAGGTGCCATCGGGCCGATTCCTGGACGCGGCGACCCCACGGTGTGCCAGCGGCTGCTTTTCCACGAGCAGATTGCCAGGCCTTTCTTCCAAGGCAACGCACGGTGAATTAGAACTGCCTGCTACTCGGGGAGCCTTCATAACAGAGCCCCTGCCTGTCCCAGACAACTCCAGCCTAAACCAGACAGCGACGAAATGTTTCCCCACCGGTGCCACTGCTACGTATAACCAAATGCAAAGGGATCCCTCTGGCCGGCTCTCGGAGTCGAATGTGAAAGGACCATGAGGAAATGGGCTTCTAGAACATGGCCCTCTCTGGGGTCAATGAAACAGCAGAAGTTCATTTCCCACACTAACAGAACCAACTCCATGGCGGTTGGCTGGTGTTGCTATTGCTGGTGGGATTTGCAGCAAACACGGATTGGCCCTCAAACCCAAATGACTGCCTGCAGGACAACAAAACCAGGTCATTTTTCATGTGAGCGTTGCCATGCCACAGTCCCTCGTCTGATTTCCTGTCCAAACCCCATTTCAGACGAACGACTAAATGCACCCTTATAAATGTACAGCTGCTGCCACTAAGACTAAAATAACATTCAAAAAAGTCCTAAAATAGGGACAAATGATGACTTCTGCAAATGCCTTATTCGGTTTTAAAATAACTGCACATGACTCAGACTGTGGTCCTAGGAAAGCAACGGCACATCTTGGCTTTGTGGGGCAACCTAGTCTCGGGGTTTGTGTAGACCCCTTTGGACCGATCTTGGGGATAAGGAGAGCCAGCCCCCCCTCCCCCCCCTGCAAGGGAACAAGGCTACAGAAAGGTTCCCATGTGGCAGTGTCTCTTCTGCGGTGGTTTCAGATGGGGTTGGAGTGGTGGGTGTCCAATACTGCTGACCCACAGATGGAGAGAGGTCCCCTCTTTCAATCCCAATCAGACCCCAGGCAAGGCGGCCGATGAGTGCCCCTCTGCCGTGCTGGCCTCCCTTTCTGACGCGGAGCGCGGCCACCTGCATCTGGCTGTCACCCTACTTAAGTAAGAGCGATCAGGGCTTCCAACCTAGAACAGCATTATAATGGCTCCTCCCCCAATGACAGGTGTTAGACAATACACATCTTGAGAATTCATGTAATACCCAGACATCGGACATCGTTTCATACCATTTCAAATTATGTGCAGACTGGCTCTTTTTTTTTGTTGCTGGATTCTTTTTTTTTTCTTCTTTTAATCATTTTATTAGGGGCTCATACAACTCTTATCACAATCCATACACACAACAATTGTGTAAAGCGCATTTGTACATTCATTGCCCTCGTCATTCTCAAAACATTTCCTCTCCACTTAAACCCCCAGCATTAGGTCCTCATTTTCCCCCTCCCTCATGCGCCCTTGAAGTTTATAAATTGTTATTTTGTCATATCTTGTCCTGTCTGACGTCTCCCTTCACCCACTTTTCTGTTGTCTGTCCCCCAGGGAGGAGGTCACATATAGTTCCTTGTAATCGGTTCTCCCTTTCCTACCCACT